CCCAGGCAGCCCTCCTGCAGATGTGTGACTGAGCAGCAGCAGGGCTCCTGGCCCCTGGTCCTCACCCTGATCAGAGGGGCCCTCATGGGGGCTGGCTTCCTCCTCACCTACGTCCTCACCTGGCTCTACTACACCAGGTGAGCAGGCCTGTCTCTCCCGGGGAAGGTCAGGGATTGGCCCTGAGGTGCAGGTGGGGCCGAGGTGTCTGGCTCTGCCTGGAGTTAGAGCCAAAGTGGCCGAGTCTCTGAGCTGACACCTGTGTTGGCCCCACAGATGTGGAGGCCCCTGGAACAGGAGCCAGAGCTCCTGATGGATCCTCCCTTCCTCTCAAGATGGGACTGAGGTGTGGACACCAGGCTAGAGGGACCGTCCTGGGATGTCAATGTCACCTTCTCCCTGGAAGCTCTTGACTCACCTGCCTCCAATGTGCCCCTGGGGTTTCAGTGTGTGGAAGTGATTGAGTGACGATAAGGGGAGTCAATGCCATGGAGAGAAGACTTTTACTCCTTTTACCTCCTGAGGTGACCACGTGGGAATAAGCCTGCCCTGGGAGGCCCTGGGTCTCCTTGGCTTCCAACCTGTTTAATGTCTCAAAACATCATAAGATACAGAAATAAACAATAAAACACACCCACTGACGGCCCCCGTGTTTCTGCCTGTGCTTCTCCCATTTGACTTCTCTCTCTCTCTCTCTCTCTCTCTCATCTGCCCACTCATCCCCCAATCCCCTGCTCCTCTCTCCATCCTCAGTCTCAGGAAGGGACTGAAGTTGGTACCTTATCCTCCCCTTGCCCAGAAGTTACCACCTGAGTTTCTGGTCTCCCAAACTGACCCATCAGTGTAGACATTGATACACAGTGGAGTTAGGAGCACAGCTCTCCTTTCCTTATTCATAGATTCCTGCCTTGTAATTATTATTATAAAACATCCCTACATTTAGTTATAAATAAAAATATTTCTGTGATACTTCATAAAAATTGAGGTCACTATTTAGTGTCTGTGGGAGTTTCTTGAGTCCAGTTACATCTGCATCTCCTCTTTTTGTTGTTGCTGTTGTTGAACCTGTAAGTAAGGGATTTTGTTTATTCTTGGCAATTACTCAATTGGTATTTATATCTATTCTTGAATAATAGAGAATTTCAACACTTAAGACACATCCAAATATCCTCTCACCATTTGTATTGCTATTGTCATATATCTTACAGCTATAAATATTATAAGCTTTAGAGAACATTAATAATTACTTGGATGTAAACAATTATTTTCTCTCCAGATTTACTGAGATATTTTTGGCATAGAATGCATGCAGGTTTAAGGCATGCAGTGTGCATATTTGCTACACCTACATAGTGAAGTGATTACCACAACAAGGTTCATTAACACTTCCATCCTCTCATATAGTTATAATTGTTATGGTTATAACACTGATGATGTATAACCATAACAACTTTTTGGGATATAATACAATCGTGTTAATCATAGGTATCATACTATACAGTAGGTTCCCAGAAATTATTCATCTTGTATCTGTAAATTGTATGCTTGACCAACATCTCCCCATTTTCTCACCCCCAGCCTCAGCATCACCATTCTACTCTCTTTTTGTGAGTTCAGCTTCTTCAGATCCCACTGTGAGAACACACTGCAGGTAAACAATGACTATTTTTTAAAATACCCCTCACAGTTATGCTTCCCTCATGCAGTTCTAGGTTTCCATCACAGAATCACTTTCCTCTATGCAAAAATGAACTAAAAATATATTAAAGACCTAAATATAATACAGACAACTATAGAACTCTTAGAGGATAACATCGGGGGAGAGTCCAAGACATTGGATTTTGCAAATATTTCCTGGATATTTACATCAAAAGCACAGACAAGGAAAGCAAACATAGACAAGTGGGACTGTACAGACTTCAAAACCTGAGCACAAAAGGACACTCTCACCAGACTCCAGAGGCCACCTACAGGATGGGAGAGAAGATGTATCTGCTGAGGGGTTAATATTAGGAATATATTACAAACTCATACGAGGCAACATAAGAAACCCAAATAACACAACTGAAGCATTGGGCTAAAAACTTGAGTCGATGTTTCTCCAAAGATCATATGCTCATAGCAAACAAACTTATGAAAAGATATTCAACATCAGTAATCCTAAAGAACTACAAATCAAAGCCCTTGCTGGGTAGCTCGGTTGGTTAGAGTGTCTTCCAGTTGGCTGGTTTGATCCTTTTCAGGGCACATACAACAATCAACCAATGATTGCATACGTCAAAACTAAAATGAGATAGGGGCCTTCCTGCATTTCACGTGACCCCTGGTGGTCAGTGCACATAATTTCGAGCGATCAAACTCCCAGTCTCCTGATCAAATTCCCGAGGGGACACTTTGCATATTAGCCTTTTATATATATAGATAATACAGAGAATAGAGAGAGAGAATTCATGCTCCCTTCAGCATGGCTGATTGACATTTTCTTTTTCTCCTGTATCATTAAAGAAATGTTTCTTTCAAACACACAATTTGTTACTGGGAATGTCTGAAGTTTCACATCATTGTCATATTTGGGAAAACGTTGATCAAGTTTCTTTCTTTCATAAAAGAGTAGTAGGATTGCAGGTTATGTCCACCCATTACGCGAGCCCTGCTGGGCTTTGAAAAGGGACGGAGCACGTGAGGCGCCTGAAGGTGGAGCTTCCTGAGCTGTAGGTGGTGAATTTGCTGCTGTGCTGAGTCCCTCCGAATGGGGTGAGATCTCCCTTCACACATCACCTTCTGATGGGGCCTGTGTGCTGTCACTGTCTCAGGTCCCTCAGACCCTGGAAGATCCACACGTGTGCCTCCCATGTCCCCACAAAGCTCTCAGAGCAAAGGGCTTGAATGCTCAAGTTTTCACGGGGGTTCCACCCTCCAACTGGAGTTGAGTCTAAATTCCTTTTTCTCTTGCCAGCACTTGAGTTGTCTAAAGAAAATTTAAAGTTATCCTTTTCCAGACCCATCAGTGGTTTCAGCTCAAGGGTGGGTCTCCCCCAAGTCCAGCTCTGACCCCAGTGGCCCCCTGGGTGACCTCCCTCTCCACTTACACATCATCTGCAAGGTGATTACTTTAAGATTCACATCTGGACACGCCTCTCAACCTCTGAGGGCCTCAGCATATCCACTGGCAGGGTTGGGTGGGAGGGGGAAGGGAGACAGGTTGATTTCTCAGCCACCACCAACCACCCCCACATCCTGTGGAGGCCAAGTTTCCCTTCCACTCTGGCCACGGTCCCTCCACCAGGGTTTCCTGTTGGGGCGTCCTATGGCCTCACCTCAGAGCTGGGCACTTACCTCCCTGACACAGGGACCAGGAACCGCTCTGCCCTGCCAGAGGCAGACATGGTGCCCCTGCTGCTGCTGCCCCTGCTTTGGGAGGGTGAGTAGGGTGAGGGAGGGGGCTGGGTAAGAGGGGGATCAGCCGGGGCTGCTGCTGAGCCTCTGTCCCCCTCCCCCAGGGTCCCTCCAGCAGCAACGAGGCTATGAGTATGAGCTCCGAGTGCAGGATTCAGTGACAGTGCATGAGGGTCTGTGTGTCCATGTGCCCTGCTCCTTCTTTTACCCTTGGAGTTCATGGTATTCCCCTAGAAACCTCTACACCTACTGGTACCAGGACAGGGACAACACAGACTGTGATTCTCCTGTGGCCTCGAGCAACCCACGTAAACCGGTTAAGAGTGAGACAGAAAACCGTTTCATCTTCGCGGACCCCAAGACCCAGGACTGTTCCCTTTACATCAGAGATGCCAGGAGGAGTGACACAGGACGCTACTTCTTCCAAGTGGAGATAGGAAATTCTGTGAAACATAGTTACCGAGAGAAGAAGCTGAATTTGCAGGTGACAGGTAAGGCAGGGGCCCAGGGGAGGACCCAGGGACATGGGACCCCGACTTAGAGCAGGAACAGGACACTGGACACTCCCTGATCCAGGCCTTTGGCACTGGGTGGTGGGAAGATCACAGGGCCTGGGGAGCTCAGGGGCCCTGAGACACAAGTTCCACTCAGGATCACACTTTGGGTCCCCAGCTTCTGAGGCCCAGGCACCTCCCCCTCTCCTCTTCCTCCCTGACAGACAAACCCCACATCCAGATTCTGGAGCCTCTGGAGTCCGGCCGCCGCACACAGCTGGCCTGCAGCCTGCCAGGGGCCTGCGAAGGGGGACGACCTCTCACCTTCTCCTGGGCGGGAGCCGCTGTGGACTTGCTGGACCCCCAGACTCGCCGCTTCTCAGTGCTCACCTTCACCCCCAGGCCCCAGGACCATGGCACCAACCTCACCTGTCAGGTGAAACGGGAATGGCCTCACTTGACCTCACAGAGAACCATCCGGCTCAATGTCTCCTGTGAGTGTTTGATGGATGCCTGGGTCCCTAGAGGTAGTGGGACTGATGTGTGTGTGTGTGTGTGTGTGTGTGTGTGTGTGTGTGTGTGTGTAGAAGGCTGAGCGAACCTGAGAACACCCGGGCATGGATGTGCCTGTAGGTGGGGAGGGGGCCAGAAGGACAGCTCTCCCCCCTTCCCGGTTCCCACTGCCCCTCCTTGGGGTTGGGGTGACTTCCATGTGAAGTGGGGCCCATCTTTCTATCCTAGATGCCCCAGGGAACCTCACCATAGGCATCTCCTACAGAAACCACCCAGGTAGGAAAGAACCCCTCCTCTCTGGGCGGGGACCTGCCCCGGGCCCTGGTGGGGCAGAGCAGAAAGCAGGATTTTGAATGGGATCAGACTTGGGAAGGTCAAGGATGAAAGTCATCACCCCAGACCCTCACCTCTGGTGGGTGGGTGCCTGACCTGTGTTACACACACATCTCTCTCTCTCTCTCTCTCTCTCTCCATTTCTCTACCCAAAGCCTTCAAGAATCTACAAACCACACTCCTAACCATCCTGGAGGGAGAGGCCCTGAGGCTGCTCTGTGTGGCTAACAGCAACCCCCCTGCCGAGCTGAGCTGGTTCCGGGGGTCCCCAGGCCTGAACGCCACCCCCATCTCCAGCACCGCGATCCTGGAGCTGCCTCGCGTGGGGCCTGCACAGGAAGGAGAGTTCACCTGCCAAGCTCGGCACCCGCTGGGCTCCCACAGTGTCTCTCTCAGCCTCTCCGTGGTCTGTGAGTGTGGAGACCCCAGGGGGCAGCACAGCTGGGTTCTGGGGAGATTAGAGGCACCGCTGACCCTTGTCCTCACTCCCCACAGACCCCCCGCAGCTGCTGGGACCCTCCTGCTCCTGGGAGGACCAGGATCTGCACTGCAGCTGCTCCTCCATGGCCCAGCCGGCCCCCTCCCTGCGCTGGCGGCTGGGGGCGGGGCTGCTGGAGGGGAATCAGAGCAACGCCTCCCACGTGGTCACCTCCATCTCAGAGGGGCCCTGGACCAACAGCTCCCTGAGCCTCCGCCCTGTGCTCAATGAGGGACTCAAACTCAGCTGTGAGGCCTGGAATGTGCATGGGACCCAGAGCGCCTCTGTCCTGCTTCTGCCAGGTCGGGGCCTGCTGGGGGCAGAGGCCAAGGAGAAAGGAGTGGGTCAGAGAGAAGATGGAGCTGGGGAGGGGAGGGGGCTGTGGCCTGGACAGGAGTGATTGCTAGGACAGGGCCTGCATCTCCTGCCTGACTGAACCTACAGCGGGTGCTGGGAGGAGGTGGGAAGAGGAGAGACCGAGTCCAGCTAGTGGGTGTCTCACGCCCCTCTTCTCTGCAGGGAAGGCGGTGCCCCAGGGCAGGAGTGGTTCCTGCAGCTCTCGGAGGTGCTGGAGCCCTGGCCCTGCTGTCCCTGTGCTTGTGTCTCCTCTCCTTTTGCAGGTGGGCCTCTGGGGCAGGGAGGTGCAGAGCTGAGTACATCCAGAGGGGACTGTTTTGGGAGGGCCGGAGAGGGTAGCAGCTTTATTGAGGCAAAATTCCCATATATTTAAAGTATACAATTCAGTGGCTTTTCCTTCAGTCACACAGCTGTGCACCTATCACCACAGTCAATTTTAAATGTTTCATTTGCTTGAAATAATAAAAAAAAGCAAAAGACATGCACATCATCTAACTTTTAGTTTGTTTCCATCCTCTCCCAGCACTAGGCATCCACTAACTGCTTCCTGTCTCTTCTGGACATTTCATATAAATGGGATCACACAACACATGGTCCTTTGTGACTGACTTTTTTTCACTTAACACGATATCTCCTTTAATTATTATAATAATTATTTTGTTTGTTAATCCTCATCCAAGAATATTTTTCCATTGATTTTTAGAGAGAGTGGAAGGAAAAGAGGAAGAGAGAAAGAGAGAGAGAAACATCGATGTCAGAGAGACACATTCATAGATTCCTTGCCTACAAGACCCAACCAGAGATGGGGATGGAACCTGCAACCCAGGTCCATGTCCTTGGCCAGGAATTGAACCTGTGAACTTCAGTGTGCAGGCCGACGCTCTAACCACTGAGCCACTGGCCAGGGGCATGACATTTTCAAGGTTCATGTGTCAGCTCTGTATTGCTTTTCATTTACAAATAATATTCCATGGTATGGATGGGGCACATTTGATCTGTCCGTTCCTTCATTGACGGACATTGGGTTGCTTGGACGTTTTGGCTGCCATGAATCACACTGATGATGGCTTGTGCACACGTCTCTGCTTGTGAGAGGGGCCTCGGTGATGAACATTCAGTCTTGGCCAAACCCCTGGGCATCCAGGGGGACGGGACCCTCACCTGCATGTCAGGAGGGTCTCCGAGTCTGGCCTCAGGGTCTGGATGCCTCCATTGTCCATCAGGGAGTGGGGGCAGCTGCCCTCCTGTGCCTGAGCCATTCTAGCTGCTGACTTCTTCCCTTAGAGTGAAAGCCTGCAGGAGGCAAGCAGCTGGGAGACCAAAGGTCAGGAATGATGAAGATCCTGTGATGGGCACAGTCACCTGGGTGAGTGACCGGGTGTCTTCTCATGCCGTGTGGGGGGTGGTGCTGGGCATGTCCGTTAAGGAGTCCACACTGAGCTCCTCTGAGGTCAGCTGGACAGACAGCTGGGAGTTGACTTCCCCTTCATTTCCCAGAACCAATGGTCAGCCTCCTGCCCCAGCCACACTGACCACTGAGCCCACCTCACCTCTCTGATAGGCCCCGGCTGCCAGAACCATCTCCCCAAAACGACTACTTTCTACCCATTGTGGGCATGTTGCTTCACCTCTCCTCACCTCAGTTTCCCCATCCGTAAATGGGGATAATGAGTGCAATTCATGCTGGGTTTCTGTGAGGATGAAACGTGATTAGTAGGCCCTCAGTATAATATTACAGAATGTTAAATGCATGCGGGAATAGTTGAGTTCAGAAGACGTGTGTGTGGAATGAGGAAGAATGAAAACTGTTCCATCAACCCAATTTCCCCTTGGGACCATGTCTGCCTTATTCCTCTCTGACTCCCTTCTTGCCCCTCCACTCAGGGTTCCCAGGAAAAGCTAGGGCCAGACAGGCCTCCAGAACAAGCGCCCCCCTCCAAGGATGGCCCTCCCTCCGGGGAGCAACAAGAGCTCTACTACGCCAACCTCAGCTTTTATGAGATGAAGACACAGGAGCCTCAGAACCCGGAGGCCACCGGCAGCCCTGAGTACTCAGAGATCAAGCGTGCAGGCAAATGAGGACTCGCTCAGAGCAGTTTAATTGACTTTTCAGGAGCAACCATGGAAAGCAGAAGAAAGCAGATACGATCTTTAAATGTCACTTTATAATTTATACCTAGCAGAGAGAATGCAAAAATGAGGAAGTAATACAGATGTTTTGGAACAAATAAATGGGGAAATTATTGCCTGTAGAATAAAAATATAGATTTAAATTCCTGACAGTAATAATGGCTAAGCCCAAAGTAGCTGTGGTGGGGAATATTAAATATGTACATATTACCTAGGAGGAGAGAGAAGTGTTCATTTACTAAAACTTTGGTAAGTTAATTATGATGCCGTAATTTTTATGGTAGTGACTGCACATAATAAAATAAGAATGTATAAGTTACAAACTAGAAATAGTTTTAAATATATATATAATTTATTTCAGAGAGGAAGGGAGAGGAAGGGAGAAACATCAATGATGAGAGAGAATCATCATGGCACAACCTGTCTTGCCCTGAAATAGTGAGGGGAGGTGTGGCTAGGGTTGAGTCAATGATGAAGAGACATTAGTCCTGGCATAAATGGGGGCGTCCGGGTCCCCAAAGCTCCTCCCTATCCTCACAACAGCCCTGAGGTCACCTCAGAGTAATGGTGTTCTGTCCCATTATACAGCTGAAGAAACAGGCTCCACAGAATATCCTGGTTCACTCTGAAGGCAGTGTCAAATCTGCTTTGCTCCCTTTTTAAAGTTGGTTTTGAGAGAGAGAGAGAGAGAGAGAGAGAGAGAGAGAGAGAGAGAGAGAGAAAGAGAGAGATGAGAGAGAAACATTGATTGGCTGCCTCCTGCATCTAACCTGACTGGGAGGACCGCAATGTAGGTAAGTGCCCTGACAGGGAATAGAACCCACAACATTTTGTCTATGGGACGACGCTCCAATGAACTGAGCCACCTGGCCAGGGTTGCTCTGATCACATTTGAATCTCTAGCACCTAGCACAGTGCGTACCAAGGCAAATGTTCAACTTTATTTATGAATGTACTGAGTAGCTCACTGTCCCCACAATATTTATGGTGTATGGTGAATTCCTATGTTTCTAGTGCCAGTAAGAAAATATGCAAACAGCTAACAGTCTTTCCAGCCGGTGGGCAGTAAACACACTTGATCAATATTTCTTTTTGTCATTCACAGTGTCTGCACATTCTTCCTCCTCAGTCCCAGCTTCCTCCCCAGGCCCCTGCTGTCCCAGGGTCCTCCTAAAACTACCCTCTGTGAAGGCCAAACTGACATTTTAATTCTTAATGGTGGCCATAGTTTATTGGTAGGTCCCCTAAGACATGTAGCAATTCATTAGGGGAACTTCCTCTTTTTGAGACATTTCGGTGGCAAATGCTAAGTGGAATCTTAGCATTTTGCTGGTACAAGCTCAAAAGAGTAAGGCAACCAGAGGGGTGAGAGGAAAAGCATAGAGATGAGCCCAGCCCACTCCCACCCCTTCTCCTGACTTTTCCTTCCCAAGAGGAACCCAGCCTTTATAAGCCCCTTGAACTTAGGTGCCCTGCTGACCTAAGGCCCAGGACCTTGGCCTTGTGAGTTGGGGTCCTTGGCAGTGCTGAGCCCAGGTGTGTTCCAGAACCACGGACAGCGCCACCCCTCTGGCCAGGAGCTCCCCAGTTGGATGGATGGTCCCCTGGAGGCCGAGTCTTGCTGTGTCTCCTGTGGAGGTAAGGCCGGGGAGTGAGGCTGGTGACATTCTGTCCTACAGGACAGAGGTGCAGCCAAACTCCTCCTCAGTCTCCCCCTGGAACCTCCCTCATCCTAGGGAAGAGGAGACGGCTTCAGAGACACACTGCATTTCTGAGAGGTCACTGGGCCCCTTGGCCCTCAGAGCTAACTCTATTCTCACCCCCTCCAGAAAACCTGTCAGACTCCTGCCCTTCCCTTACTTCCTCCCCATCATTTTGCTTTTGCTTTAAGCCCATTTCTTGTACTGTCAGGGAGCTCTGGGCAACAGAAAACATGATCTGAGATCTTTTTCTTTGCCTGGCAGTATGCCAAGTCCACTTCTTCAGCTCAGATGAGTGGGGTAAGCAGAGGCAGATTCAATAGAGACAATAAAAAAGGAGATGCCTTTTGTGGCTGAAAGAACTGTTTAGACCAGTGATGGCGAACCTACGACACGCGTGTCAGAGGTGACACGCGAACTCATTTTTTGGGTTAATTTTTCTTTGTTAAATGGCATTTAAATATATAAAATAAATATCAAAAATATCAGTTTTTGTTTTACTATGGTTGCAAAGATCAAAAAATTTCTATATGTGACACGGCACCAGAGGTAAGTTAGGGTTTTTCAAAATGCTGACACGCCGAGCTCAAAAGGTTCGCCATCGCTGGTTTAGACGTTAGAAGGTGTGAGAGCAGGGCTCATGGGAACCATGAGAATGGACTGACAACCACACTCACGTTCAGTAGCTTTCTAAAGTGAAATTGACACCAGAAACCCACAAACCAGCACACTCCCATCTGCAGCTGGTTCAGGGCCCCTGTTCTGTTCTAGCCTCTGCCCATCAGGGGCCCCCTGGGATGAGTATGAGTTCATCCATCTCTTCATGAGGCTTCTTGTGTGACCGGAGCTGGTCTGTGGGCCAGAACAGAGAGAGAATTCGGTGTCAGGTAGGTCCTGGCTTCCAGATCCTCCTGCTCCCAGAGAGAGGTCCCAAGAATTCTGGGAAAGCAGAATGCCATCCATTCTCTGAGGGTGCGTGAGGATGAACACTTGGGACAGGTGACAGGAGGGGGGAGTGGGAGGGAAAGGGGCCATCCTGACAGGTGATCACCAGACCTGGGGTGAGAAGCTCAGCCTTTACTTCCTGGTTGTCACTGGGGAGAAGAAAGCTCCTGAGAGGGGGAGGTGTTGGGAGGAAGCCCAACCCAGAAAAAGCCATTGATGTCTGCTGCTCTGCCACTGCCCCTGGTAGTCAGAGAGAAAGGACTGATCCGTGATGTCAGCGGTCCTGGACTTGGTCCCTCCAAGCCCAAGCTGTTGCTGTTGCTGTTGCCCCTGCTGTGTGTGTGTGTGTGTGTGTGTGTGTGTGTGTGTGTGTGTGTAGGATAACAGGGCTGTGGGACTTGGTCCTTGGTCTTCATTGGGGTACAACTTAGAGAAGGACATAGGGTAGAAGCTGCAGGTATGAGGATTGGGGACATGGTGTAGGACATAGTGCCTGTGTATCCGCATGCTCTGACCTTCTCTCATCCTGAAATTTACGGGTTTACTGTAGAATCATCTACATCTTCTCATTTATGGAAGAGACCAACACATTCCACGGTCCTCCTAGGCCCCGAAGACCAGGCCAAACCTGCAGGAGATGACCGAGGACCTTGGGCTGGAAATAGATGAGACCCCATAGGGATGGCAGCTGGGTTTTGAATTCCTCAGCCCTTCATCAGATCGCAGTGGCCCACCTGCTACCGGCTACATTAACGATGCCTGGAGGAGGAGAATCCTACCCAGGGTCTATATTGTAGTCTGTGTAATTTGTCATTGCGCATCAGACACAGTGCAATCTGGGAGACAGCCACCCAGAGAACTATGAGAAGACTGGATTTATTAGAAAACCCAGACCTTAGACCAGCCATGGGCAAACTACGGCCGCGGGCCGGATCCGGCCCATTTGAAATGAATAAAACAAAAAAAAAAAAAAAAAAGACCATCCCCCTTTTATGTAATGATGTTTACTTTGAATTTATATTAGTTCACACAAACACTCCACCCATGCTTTTGTTCCGGCCCTCCGGTCCAGTTTAAGAACCCGTTGTGGCCCTCGAGTCAAAAAGTTTGCCCCCCCCCCCTGGCTTAGACCATGTGCCAGGAGCCAGGGAGTGCTGTTCTGGAGCGAGCGGGAGGGTGAGAGACAGTGTTACGGAGCAGCTCACCTGCAGCACAGGAGTGGTGGACGTGAGAGAGCTGGTCGAAAATATGAAAAGCCAAGGTGTCCTGCTGCCAATGTGGAAGTCGAAAGGGGAAGCTCACAGGAAGTTCTCAGGGAAGCCGTTGCCTCTGTGGGCACACAGCTGGGTGGCTGGTGGGTGTTGGTGTTGGTCATCACGGTAGGCGATTGGGAGGAAGAGCTATATCTGGAGCAAGGCGGGGTGAGTTGCCAAGCATGTTATCTCTGGTTTGATAGGTGTTCACCGCAGGAGGGTAAGTGTGGTGCCAGTCATTCCATTCTGCCTAGTTCTTCTTTTAAGTGTTCCAGTTTGACAGCGAGAGCCCCCATTTTAGCATCTATTTTTTTTAGCATCTCTTTTCTTGAACACGTTGATGATCAAGTCCATGCCTGAAACTCCTACATCTGGTTCATCTGTGACCATGTCGATGCTTTGTTTTCCTCCTGGTGTGCAGCCCTTTCGTCCCGATAGGCTTGTAAAGTTTTTATTGAATTGTGGAGATTTTCTGAGGCTCTGGAAAATGTTCCCTCTGGATTCTAGAACAGTCTAGAACAGTGCTGCACAATGACATTTTGTGATGGAAATGGTCTGTACCTGTGCTCTTCAATGCGGTAGCCACTGGCCGAATGTGGCTACGGAGCACTTGAAATGTGTTTAGTAAGACCGGTGAGTGGTGCTTTAAACTTAATTTTAACCAATTTAAATGGAAATAGGACTGTGTGGCTCGGGCTCCCCTACTTTTGCTTCCTAGCAAGCAGATAGAGGAGGGATCTTTTTAATCCCCTGTGGTCCCTGGCCGGTGTGGCTCAGTTGGTTGAGCATCATCCTGTGTACTGAAAGGTCCATGGTTCAATTTCTGGTCGGGACACATGCCTAGGTTGTGGGTTCAATCCCTGGTCAGGGTGAGTGTGGGATTCAGCTGATCGATGTCTCTCTCTCTCTCTCTCTCTCTCTCTCTCTTCCATAGAACATATTTTTTTAAAAAATCCAGTGTGGGATTGAGTTTGAAAGTGGGTTCTGGTGTACTTGTGGATGAGTCTACTTGCCCGTGACCCTGACTCTAACTTGTAAATCTATTTGGGTCCTAAGTGAGGTATTTATGGGACCCGGCCTTCTGAGGAGACCCTGAACATCATTTTGTTTTCCCAGAGGAAAAGAGGAGCT